GTAGTTGTAAATATAGAAAACATTATGACAGTAACATTTTTACAATGCGCACGCACACCGACACCGACATCATGAACTTGGTGGCAAAGCGACCTTTTTCACCTGACACATTTACATTACATTTTATTTCACCTGAGTATTATTTGTGGTTATACTTGATACTTGTCGCCGCCTCAGCAAAGATTGTTCAATGCGTTTCACGCCTCTGCTTGTCAACACGCCTTTCGCAAACAGTTTTCTATCTCTTAGTTTTGAATATTCCTATATAAGCGAGAAGATAATCTTTATTATTAAAATTAAATTTTTCGGACGTCAACAACGATTGCTAGAGTAAACTGAAATACTAAGATAATATAAAATGGACAAAAGTCTACCTGTATTGTTGTGTATTAGGTGTACCTAAACTAAACCCCAGTAACGCTACAATAAACTAGTTGATTGCGTGATATTATTTTTGATAACAAATTTCTGTTCTCTTTGTTTTATTTTTAATTTTGTATCCTTACAACACATATGCCTGTGCTATTCCTTCCAACCATTATTGACTGTGATTGAGCTTTAAATATAATTAAACTGGTTGCAATTCTACAATTTGGTTCGCATAGCACATCGTTAAACAAAACATTCACGTTTGTTTAAATTGTAAGGGCTTTCAGTCTCGTTATATTTATTATATCTGGGAAAATAAAACGACTGTTCAGTCTATAAATTCCCGGGGAAAACTAAACTATTTCAAAAACTCTTTATTAATCATTCCTATAAACTACTTTATTAACTATAGGTACTGCAAACTTATGTACAATAAACAAATATTAAAAATTATTTGTTTATATTTTCAATTTTATAATAGGTACGTAACGTAAAAAACAAAGACCATTTAATGTATTTTCGGACATGGAAGATCAGTATTTAAGAACTAACTCGCGTTAGTTATGGCTGCATTTCCCTCTTTCGCCACCATTTTCAAAGAGAGCTTTTTCCACGTACAAGGTTGTTAACAAGTCTCGGATTGATATGGTAGTTTTATTGTCTTCTATGTTGTTGAGGTTTGACCAAATTATTAGGCTCATAGTCTAGCTGCTTTTTTCTAGTGAATTTAGCGTCTAAGTTAGCGTCATATCATTCACACCATTGGCACTTGCTGGATAACTGTTTGTTCGTTTTCCAGCTATAGATATTTTTAATAATTCGTTAATTATATTTTTTTTGATAGTGTAATTTCATCGTTGACTAAAGTCAAGACATCGAAATTGAAATTGTAAGGCTGTATTGAAATTAGTAGCTTCTTTTGTAAATTATTAAGTCACGGTCTGCACAGCTCACCCTAAGACCTCCATAAGAGTGTTTTCACATAGACATAACAAAAGATACTAGTATTATAGTGGATTTTTTATTAACAGTAATTATTTGACTTAATCTGAAACGCCTCTTTGTTCCCGAGGACTGGACTGGTATCAAAATATGAAAAAATCGTGGAGACCTTCGAAATTTTCGAGACTGAGACTAACCATATGAAAATCATCTTGATGTCTGTTATAGAGTGCATCAATAAATAAATTTACCCCACTTATATGTAATATGCTGAAATTGAGCCTGTGGCTTAAATTTTTTAACATACTCTAAAATAATATAAGTTACTGTGAGCATGTTAAAATTACAAGTTAATGTAGCTTTATCTGCGAAATCATCAACCACGCGCATATAGTACCACCACATGCCATAATTAGCATAAACTGTAGATCGAATCCTCTTCCTGTTAATTACGGGGCAATGTTAATGTGATTATTCCTCTTATCTGTATTTGGGTCCATCTGTCGTGCACATGACGGTTAGAAGAATGTTAGTGTGTATATTGTAAAAAGTGGTAGCGTCACGGTGATAGGGGTAGAGGGTGTAGAGCGACGGAGCGTGGCGTAGCGCCCGCTGACGGTCGCTGGCCACGCGCCGATGTACTGCACGTGCCGTGTATAAATGTCACTTAATAACAACCCAAGCTATAAATATCAAGGAGAGTGTAGTCCATTTGTGCACGATATCAATAATTGTGAATCGGTATAAATGATGTAGCTGATAATCACTAACTTTACACTATATATGATACGTGCTTACTTAAGATTTTGTTTAAAACATTACTTTATCATAACATTATCCTGTGTTGTGTAAGAATGTTTTACATACATAAATTTCACTTGGTCAAACACCCAGATCCGGAGCAATTATCTGGGGGTCACACAAAAAGTTGTCTCGTGTGAAAATCGAACCTATGACCCCCGGCGCCACGGATTTATCATATTTAAGAAACTGCATTTCATTGTCTAATATGCAGCAATCACTAAATAATATTAAATCATTAAAATCTCGCGCACAAATAAAATATCTATGAAAACGGGGAAAAAAATCAATGAGAGCCGCACTGATATAGATTTTTATTCTGTTTTTTAGCATTTTTTGTTATTCAATTATCTAACTATAACGGTGCATGAGATACAGTCTGGTGACAATTGGACAGACAGACAGCAAAGTCTTAGTAATATGGTCCTGTTTTACCCTTTGCGTACGAAACCCTAAAAACAGCACCACATAATGTGCGCCCATTTAAAATATTACTTTTATTTAGTGCTTTTTGACTTAATGTAATCGTTTTCGTAGTTCTATTGTATTAAAATTTCAAAAATTTTCGCGCTTCTATTTAACACGTCACTCCGACTCTGATAGTGCTAAAGCATTAGGCCTAAATGTTACGTAATCTCTAGCGGTCTCTAATGATAACCTTTGCCTGTACACAGCGTAGGCGATCTAGTTGTTTGTTCACTCCGGCCACCCAGTGTGCCGATATTATCCTCAATATTTTCGTATCTCCCACTGGGCTTATGCGCTTCGGTGTTCGTGGGATTCTTTTATTGGTTTTTAATACACGTACTCACTGATGTCAAAATAATAAAATTACCCGTTGAAGTACTAATATATTAAGCATACGCACACGTGCGGCGCCATTGTTATAAACTTTGTAAGTTTTTAAGTTTTATATAAAGTTTAAATGTGACACGTTACTGAATGTTAAGACTTTAAATTTCCTGAATTAATAAGATACAAAAACCTTTTTGTATCTTGTATCTTGTATTAATTGATGTTTGTGCTTTCAGTCCCGAGGCTATTGAAGCTTCATCTGACGCAGAACCGGTGGCTAGCCAGAACCCATGGGTTTGGGACCTTTTTGTACTTAACTTTCTGTTAATTTCAAAATTATTTTTGTACTTAATTTTACGTAATTATTTTATTAAAATGGCGCATATATTTTGCTAATGGATATTTCACTCACTCAAAGATAATACCGCAAATAAAATAATACAATTATGATCAATCAAGTAATAAAGTATTTCAAAAACTGCAATGTGTTGTAGAATGTAGTTTTGATATCATGACGATTAAAAGCTTAACGTGTCATTTTCATATATATAAAAGTGTGAGTCGAACTCGCGTGCGAAGGCGTTCCGTACCATTATCTATTAAAACGGCAAACAAATCATGTCTATTGTATGGGAGCCCTACTTAAATATTTTTTATTCTGTTTTTTATCTGTGCAAATTCACACTGTATAACTGTCTAACTGTCACAGTTCGTGAGATACGTATGTAGCCTGGTGACAGACGATCGAACAGACAGACAGCGAAATCTTAGTAATAGGGAACCCTTTGCTTTAGGTACGGATCCCTAAAAGTTTTGACTTATTAAATGATGGCTGGAAAGTCGGAATAACTATAGTAATGTCATGGGTGCAAATCACAGGGATCTTATCCTTTAAACGAGCAATTCTTGTATATATATATATATATATATATATATATATATATATATATATAATTGGAATCTCGGAAACGGCTCCAGCGATTTTCATGAAATTTTGTATGTGCGTAGATTCGGGGGCGAAGAATCGATCTAGCTAGGTTTCATTTTTAGAAAATGTCGTTTTATCTCAGTTTTCAGGGAATGAAAAATATCATTCGAATATGACGGTAAATTTCACCGAAATAAAAAATGTTATAATAGCTCTGTCGCTAATCGGGCGGCCACTAACAAACAGCCACGAAACAGAAGGCCGTGGTTCGTATCACGATCAGTTACCCACTAATTTTTTTAACTTTTTTTTCAATTCCAGTCAATTCATTGCTTTCTTTATCTTTTATTTTTTGTCGATTTGTTATTTTTTTTTAAAGTTCTTTCTTTTGTGAAAAACACCAGTTCATATTTTCTTATTATTACGTCGGTAAGATCGAAACATATTATGCATATTTCATTACTTAGTAATTTGTATCTAAATGTAATTTCCAAAATACACGATTTACCAACAAAAAAAAAAAAAACAAACCGAGCAAAGCTCGGTCCTCTAGGTACTTGAATTTATTATACAAAACGTACGGTCGTGCTTAGGAATAATGAGCTGAGTGAAGAGTGCAAAGTATTGGCGTGAATCATCTCGTTAAAAACTTTAGAGCTTAAGCTACTCCTTAAATGTAACTGTGGTAGGGACACAACAGTCTTCAATGTTGCACGAAACTGCAGGTCCGTCCGGGCATGTACCACGACCTCACAAAAGAGCGACGTTAAGTGGAAGTGGAAGACTTCTGCGTTTCCTCAGGTGAGTAAGCGAAGCCCATCTTAATAAAAGGTGGCAACATATCTGCAGCCCAACGGATGTTGCAAATGTCACTTAACATCAGGTGAAGTGCCAGCAGGCTTGCTACCTTTTCAAATAAAAAAAAAATTTTGACGACCCGATTAGCATGATAGATAGTGAACGTGACTCTTGCGCCAGAGGGTGTGGTTTGGATCCCAAATACTGGCAAATATTGTGTGATAATTACGATGTTTCTGCTGTATCCGGGTGTTTATATATCAGTAACATGTATTTATTTACAAAAGAGTGTGTTTATCCGCTACCTAACACTCATAGTATGAGCTTTGGTTAGTCCAGAAACATTTGTATTTAATTATTTAATTCATTGTATTACTGTACCATTACGAAATGTCTGGTCGCTGGGGCCGGTATATTTGCACGGCGCGGTGGTCATGGCAACAGGACATTGGAACGGGGCACGCGTCAGGTGCCGCTTCACGCTTGGCGGGTGAGGTGCGCAGCAAGTGGCCACGCTCGGTGCGAGGCGGTTGGCAGTTGGCAGCGAGCGCCGCGCACGCGACAGGTGCACGTCACGCGCCGTTACATCACCACCATACACCATCGTGCACCGCGTCTAGGCTAATTGAGCCGCCCAGGCCATCGGGTAAGCGCCGTCGTGCCCTATTCTCCCCTTTCCACCGACAACACCCAACTGCCCAATGTGTCGTCGCTATAAAGCCTAATCTTCGCAGTTTATCAGTTGTAAACTAATAACATCTGTAAATGTAAGGTCAACATGGTTCTAATGTTGGTTCCGCTCTGGCAGTTTTACTTTTCTAAAGAATGTAAATATTTTAGAAAATTTAAGTAAATGCTTTTTATAACCGTAAATATCTATTAAAGGGATCATAAGATAAATCTGTTTAGACGACAAACATGTCCTAAGTGGTCAGATATAATTTCTTCGTCATACAGATTGGACATGACGCGTTGTAGTATAACAACAAACAAACCAGTTTTAAGCATTTCCTAAAACTAAAAGCCAAATGAAATAACTATAAAAGTATTAATAAAATCACGCATACACAAGCATAGTCAAATCACAACCCTGTAGATAGAATTAGATGAGTGGTTTAAAACGCTGTTATTGCCCGCTTATTACTTAATGGTAAGATTTATAATTTATCTGCAACCGAATGTGGAGCGGTTCCATTAACCAGCGAAGAAGAAATGTCGGCGGTCGTGTCAGGCTTAAATTCTTTTGACAAGTGCATTTACGTGGAGCGTTTCGGCGATTTGATGGCAGGCATTATCAATCAATTGGCGGTGCGCATGCGGCACCCGGGAGCCGCCGCGCAGCAGCAAGTACTTCGACCTCACGCACTCGCAATTTACAGCTTTATCACCAGTTATTATTCTTAATAACATACTGCACCGCGACAACGCATTAACCTCATCAAAATTCACAACTTCTTCTTTTTAATTGTGCCGCCTTTTATAAGGGAAAATCGACCAGTCGATTAATGATTTTAAACCGCACCTTTGAAATACGGAACTTTAAAATTATTTTATCGCTTTGATTTTCGGAAATCGAACATAAATCATTAAAAAATAAAAGATTAAAACGCTAAGCGCATCTCCAATCTTTAGATTATGATCATGCCTGTTTGCAGAGATTTTAAATTCTTTGCGCGCCGGAATGGTTTTTAAAATTACTCATTACATCACCGTTATGGGTCGATAACAGCGTGAAATTTTGGTAATTGATAATGTTGTGGTAAGACCCAAATCAGAAAAGATATTTATAAGAAAATATGTGAAATATTACAGCCTTGGACAATATAATTCAGTGTTTCATTTTACTAACACGGTACAACCTAATTTATTAGGTTTTAATTAACATGTAAAGCTGTGCTCGATTATGTTTCCGCCGATGGTATAAATAACCACACGGTGTGCGCTGCAGTGAGTTATTAATGGTAGTCACGAATGCGACTGCAGTGTCACATTGGTATTTTATGAGAATCAGTGTCATGCGTCAGTGTCCATTACGGCGTAATCAATCATTGAGCGCGGACAAGTTTCAATCTGCGTTTGGCTCGCTTTTGGCCGAGCGGAGCTTTCGACACGGGCGCAATCAATATAGCAGATAAGTGCGATAAGATCCGACGGAGCTTCGCTGCGCGGCGTCCCTCAGGTCGCGCCTCCGGCTAGCGCGGAACTCGACGTCTTCATCGCACTACATTTAAACGATTCCTCGGCAACGCTAATAATTCAAGACAATTCCCCACAACAATACATCCTTATACACCAACAACATAGTTGTAATGCTCAAAGAATTACATTCTATTACCCCTGTAATACGTTCCACGTATTCGTAAGTGCATGTCAACAGCGCGTGCGCGTATTATGTGAAGTACTCTCAACAACTTAAGTGTTGAAGTGTTGGAGTGGGATCATTTATTATTTTATCTCGTGATTGAATCTTGCTTTTGATTTGCTTCTCGGAACAGGAAATATTTTTATGTTTTTACTCTGAAACGTATTAATGATAGTTTTCAAGCTATTCAATAAACATCCAATCCACGGTTAAAAGTGGAAAGAGTTTCCAAATCATTAAATCTATGCACGGAAAAATATCACATACGTTTTTAAAATTAAAACTTATAATTTTTTATTTTAAGACATAATACATCGATATTTGAGGAGAGAGATTACGAATACGGAGGTTTCCTCGTGAATATATATGGTAACAAATGTCTCTTATGGCACTGAATGGATCCATTAGATGTATTTGAGTTGTATATAGACATTTTAATGACTTAGCAGTGAATGCCTGATAAGTAATAGATGGACATCAGGCCGCATGTCCTCCATTTACGTTAGAAGCGGGCATGCGGGCACAGGTGCGCGTGCTGCATAAGCGCAGGTAGCCTCAGCTAACTGCCGAGCCAACTTCCACCTGTGATTCGTAATAGTGACCAACATTCCTCGTCTCAATACTAGGAAAAACATTCTCTGAGCAGCCTATGAACGCCTCATCCCGTACTGGGTACAACTCTTAGCGTCCAACGATCGAAACATAATCAGCGCCAAATGGACCTACGAAATCGCGTGACGTTTGACCTTTTGTCAACCCAATCTGCGCTAGAGTGCGAAAATTACCCTTTAAATAACAAAGTGAAATGTTGTTTGATGTCGATTAGTAATGGAAACTATCCATTAATGAGCGACATGAGACGGCTGCTATCGTTGGCAATAACTTAAACGAGCGTTAGTACGCTGGGAACTAATTGCGAAGGCGGGCCAATTTCCCAGGTAGTGCCGGATCAATTAATATTTGCTATGTTATCGATTTTTACCCGAAAGGCACTGTCCGATGTAAACGGCGAAAGTGATTTGAAATTTTTGAGATGTTATGTGGTTCAAAAGCTAAAAATTTGTAAAGTAGGTCTATTCTAAATAATTATGAATAGATTTTTATACGTACCGATTTTTGCATTCCAAATAGAAGTTTCACACCCTATAAAAAAAAGCTAACAGCACAACACAAAAAGTGGGAAATAAGGTGATAAGATGACTTGACACATTATAAAATTAAAACAGGTCCTTTTTTTCTTACTCGTTATTCGATTGTTTTGTCGGCACAAGGTTCCCGACGTTGTTTTTGCAATACAAAAAACAATATTGCACCATATGGGGTCATATCTCTTGAAAGAATGTTTTAATGACAATGTAACGAAAACATATGGCCAATTAATTTCTGCTAGCTCCACTCAACGAATGCCATTGGAGCGGTTGAAAAGGTGCTTTAAATGGTAGATCATCGTAGCTCGTGGCAAACGCTGAAATTGGATTTTTTGTCGTAACATTTTATAACGCACTCATAAAATCAATTTATCTTTAATCTTTAATTGTTGTATTGCCACAAAGCGTTAACAATGTAGGTTTAGATTTTGGGAATTGCTCAATGATTCTGTTTTAATTGAAATAGTTAATACATATTTTTGGCTCTAATAAAACAATCATGTTTTATTACAACGACGTCTAATTTCATATTCAACAATGGCAATTAACGTAATAAAATTCTAATTAAGTTTGAAAAGTTAATTAGAATCGTACTACATCGTAAATTATTGTAGTAAAAATTGGAAAAAACTATTCGAATATTTGTGTGATTATTTAATCAGATTTGTTTTCTTTGTTAGTGGTTTTCTTGTGTTTGTAAGCTCAAATGAATATGCGTGGTAAGTCACAACCTGCTCGAAGCGAGTTTCTCGGCGCGACGAGGCGACCATCTGGTGGGCGAGAGCTTATTTTTTTATTTTCCAAACGTGTCGTCTTGGATTCTTGTTTTTTGCATTGGCTGGCGCTCGCTCCTTTTCGTTCTTTTTTTTGTTTTTATTTTGGCGAACTGCAGTTAACAGGTGGCTGGCTGTGTGCAGGTGAGACCTGAGATTTTAACGCAACTTAACCCCAGTGTTAAATGTCTCGTTTACTTCCTAATTCAATACTTATTAATGCTACCGTAAGGCAATTGCAATTGCAATTTGATAAATAATATGCATTTCTTAATGCTGCTTCTTGCATCAAGTCATGTTGTCGCTTATTCACTTACTTCTCTTATTTAGCGCAGATAAGTAATAAAAGTACCAAACTCACTTCTTTCAACCTAACGATCTCCATAAAAAATAAGTTATAAACTCGTCTGGTTCATTAAAATATTCTTTTTTAAAATTTATTAAAAAGTCTCTCCTGTCAATTTTTCTGATAAGTCTGTATAACAATAAAAGAATTAATGTATAATGTATATTTTCTAATATTTTCCAATAACTCTTAGGCCTTATTTTCCCATTTTTTCTTACCAAATAACAACTATACCAGGTACATTTTGATTCACAAAGAACGAAACCCACTTCAAAAACTCTCTTTCATGTACAGTGTCTATTTTATTAATATGGAAATACATGGGAGCTAAACCGAGCTAAATAGAAAATAATCTCTAATATCGATTCATAAATGTCGGAATTCTGAAAAAAAAAAACTACAACAAGAAAGACAAAAAAGTAGGAGGCTCCTTTTTGTAGTCGGTTGAAAATCCAACAGCATCTACAGGGTTAATTCCGATACTTGGAATTCATTCGGACGTTCGCGATTATTTTATAACTTAAAAAAATTTATACTATGATTAACAAAGAGTTCCTTCCTTAAAAACTTGTATATTAATATGATTTTAAATAAGGTCAAGTTAAAGTAGTTATACAAATTTGCGTAATTAACATTGATTTAAATGAACAAGTGTAACGGTGTCTGTGAGGTATAATTTATTACAAAAAGTGTGTAGGTGACATAGAGATAAGTTAAACTTATCAACGTCCAAACGTTGGTACAAAAAGTTTTGTTGAATCTCTCTAATTAAGTGAAAATTAAAGAAAATAGTATAAAGTTCTATCGGGGTTAGTACTATCTATTATTTAAAAACAGAATTACTAAATAACTACGATGTGACTCATTATAATGATATTTATTTGCGTTTTGACGATGCTTGAAGTTGAACGTTGAGGATAAACATTATAAAAGGACGGGCGATCAGAATTAATCTTATAACTTTATAATTCAGCT